CTAGAATTAGGTCATTGGCAAGTGCTGAAATACATATTTACTATTAATACTGGATGCTAGACTCAATCGTCTAAATTCACTAGACAAGTTATGGATGGTAACACCTTTGCTTTTAATAAAATAAAAGAAATCATTTACAGTCTGTTCTAGATTAAACATTAATCTATCTTAACAGTTTTAAGGCTGAAGTTTCTGGAAAGCTGTGGCACCCATGAATCTGATTCTCTCTGTCAGACTTAATGACTGCAGATTGTGAAACTTATATGGATTTTTCATAGGGACTGATATGAAAATTTCTCTTTTTTTTTTTGTATTCATATGGCCCTATTCCAAGTGGTTTCTTGAAATATTAGATAAGGTTCTGATTGAGGTTCTGATTGTGAATTGTACAAAACTCCTTTTGCCTATCATAGCATGAATTCAGGCCCTCCATGTGTCAATTGTACTTTCTACTCAATGATAGAAAGACAAGGAAAATTCTGACATTGCATTTTTTGACAAACATTTCCTTAGACTGCAGCTGCATAAGGCAGACCTGTGTTTGAGAAACAGAAATGAGCAGAAATGTCATGGATTTATGGAAGAATGTTATTTTCATTGGTTATTCTGTGCTGTCTTGAAACTGGCTGCTGCAGATGATGAAGAACATGAGAAAGCTTGAGGCTGATAGACTTGATGACTTTCTAAGTAAACGATCTAATCCAGCTGTGAAGAAATAGAGGGGAAGCATATACACATGCTCTATCAAAAGATCTACTTCAAGTAGGTCCTTGTAAAGAAGAATACTCAGAACAGCCCAAGGAACAGCAAGGCATGGATCCTTTGCTGGGAGAGGAGGTAGACTTTTAGGTAGAGGACATTGCAATTTTTTGGATTAAATCTTTGATACTGGAGATACTCACAGAACTACATATCTTCATACTGGTCTGTCACTATTAAACTTATGAAATGAATGAACTAGTGGCCTAGTTAATGAAACTTCATTATGATAATYTTTTTAATTTGCTTTCTGGGTACACATAGGAAACTGGATGATAAATGATCCTAATTGTGGTAGGTGATTATCATAAACAATCATGGGCAAGAATAAAATCCATGACCTAGAGAGTTTTTAAGTGAGACAACAGCAGCAGATGCATACAAAAGAGAACAAGGAAATATCAAGGCAATTCTGGTTAATGTGGTAAATTATAATCGTAGTCCAGCCTAACTATTATCTAGTTATTTTATTTTTTTTCTTTTGCTTTGTTTTTATTTGTTTTTGAAAGRCATTGTAGTTAAGTACCTTAAAAAATAAGGCAGCGTTGCCACAAAGGTACAGTTTAGGAGGAAGCATGACTTCTTTGAAAGTTAAGTATTTGGAAGGGGTAGTGATGTTATGGACTCAGCAAGGACAGGGATAGAACTTTCCATACTTACTAGAGGCTAAGTAAGAAACACAGAAATTTGAGAAATATAATCTGAAATACAGAAATCTGAGAATTATGATTATGAATGGSTTTGAAAATAAAGATGGGGAGGGGTAAATAAAAAATACTGGGATTTACAATGTAGTAACATGCCATATATGTTTTCAAAGAAAGAGGGATGCTCTGGGGTGCATCCCATCATGGTCCATGGATTTGCTGGTATCAAGTTGCCCTAAGTGCTCCCTGATCCAGTCTTCCTCTACCTGGGGCAAGTCTTCCTCTCTCCATTTCTCTTCTCTTGTCCCAAGGGACTGGGATTCCAGAGGACTGCCCTTGGTAAACACTGAAGCAAAGTAGGCATTCACCAACTCTGCTTTCTCTGTGTTTTTTTTTGTAACCAGGGCACTCACCCTGTTCATTAACGGACCCATGTTCTCCCTAATCTTCCTTTTCCCTTTGATATATTTGAAAATATATCAAAAACCAACCAGTCAAAACCAATGGCTTCAGAACAGGAAAGTTTGTGTTTGTGTCTGTTGGCAGAAAATACAGCTTCAAAGAAAGGAAACTAAGTTTTTCCCTTATACTGGTTGAATACACAGAAGCTGGGCATTCATTTGTGGAACACTTCTAATATCACTTTATTTACATTTGATTTTATCTGTAACCTGTGTCTTTCTACTTTATGTCTTTCCAGAGATATGAACAACATGACATATTTTGTACCTTTTTGATCCCATTGACTTAGAGTTATGAGGAAGGCTGAGTCCAAGGAAACAGTCCTATATTTTAGTTGGTTAAAGTAGCATATAGAATTTTGATAGACCTGAAAGAAAGGTTTTTTTCTGGGCTAGACCCAGCTGTGTTTGTAAAAAATAGCTCCCTGCTTCAATGTCTTCAACTTCAATTCTGTGGCAGCTCAGGGAAAGGCATGCTATTTGCTAACAGTAATAAATATTGAAACACAAATATGTGCCACATTTTCTGGTTAAAGTAAGGACCTCTGAAAAGGCCTTCCATTTAGATTTAACCAGACCAAATTTTGCTTAAACAGTAACAAAATCTATTGTCGCTGTTCTGGGTAGAAGGGCTATGATCAAAATAATTTGAAACATTGCCATGAGAAAAGGAAAAAAAACATTTAGTAATAAAGTATATGATATTTATCTCTCTCCTATCTTGCAATAAAGATTATCAAACTAACTGTCCCCCAGCAGTGAAAGTTTTTGAAGAAATTAGCAGTTATAAGTACTTGACTTCACCTCATTTGGATGAAATGAAATAGATGGTCTGTCTCTAGATAATGTAATCAAAGCAGACATCAATAGGAAATAAATTATTGACTAATAAGGTCACATTTTATGCTAAGGAGCCTTCAAGTCTTGTGTAGAAATTTCTATCCTTKCTCTAATAATATAAAAGATTTATCTTTTGCCTTGTTGTGCAAGGAGTTTCTCACAGTGTGCTAGAAGAAATAGTAAACCTACATTATCAGAAACAGTTTCCTGAATTTAATCTTCTACTAGATGATTTGGGTAAAATCTTGTCTTTGAAATCAGAGTGAATATGGACACAAATAACAATTTTTTTTTAGCTATTTAGTTGTCATGGATTACCTGTAGCTAATTCAACAGAACTTGTAGATAATTCTTCATTTTTTATATTAAGGGTTCCTGACTAAGGGAAGTTCCAATACATTTTTAACTCAAATATTCTCCTCATAAAAGTTTTTGAGTCTACCAAGACAGTACTCTGCTCAGGCATTGCCATGGTGGATTCACTTCCACCCATGATTTCCAGCAAGCTCACAATTTGCTGCATGAGTTTATATGTATATATTTGCCACAGCTCCTTAAACACCTACTCTTGCCTTGAGGAGTTATGAAGTGGCAAATCATCCAGAAGGATAGATCTTAGCTCTACCAGATCTGGTCTACCAGAAAGGTAGATACCTAAGATCACAGCTCCATTTCTCAGCATTACCTTGAAGAGGAGTATTATGCCTAGCCACAACTCAAACACTGATGTCCAGAGGGACCTGGACAGACTGGACTACTGGGCGGTGAGAAATCTCATGAAATTCAACAAGGGCAAGTGCAGGGTCCTGCACTTGGGGAGGAATAACCCCAGACACCAGTACAGATTAGGGGTGGACCTGCTGGAGAGCAGCCCCACAGAGAGGGACATCGGCGTCATGGTGGATGACAAGATGACCAGGAGGCAGCAGTGTGCCCTGGTRGCCAAGAAGGCCAACGGGATCCYGGGGTGCATTAAGAAGAGTGTCTCCAGCACGTCGAGGGAGGTGATCATCCCCCTCTACTCAGCCCTGGTGAGGCCACATCTGGACTATTGTGTCCAGTTCTGGGCTCCCCAGTACAAGAGGRATGTGGAGCTGCTGGAGAGAGTCCAGCGAAGGGCTACCAGGATGATCAGGGGCCTGGAACATCTGCCGTATGAACAAAGGCTGAGGGAGCTGGGCYTGTTCAGCCTGGAGAAGGGGAGGCTGAGGGGGGACCTGATGAGCGTGTATAAATACCTCAAGGGAGGCAGTGAGGAGGAGGGGGGCGGCCTCTTTTCAGTGGTGGSCAGCGATAGGACTAGAGGAAACGGCCACAAGCTGAGGCACCAAAAGTTCCACAGGAACTTAAGAAAACATTTCTTGACAGTGAGGGTGACAGAGCCCTGGAACAGGTTGCCCAGAGAGGTTGTGGAGTCTCCTTCTTTGGAGATCTTCAAAACCCGCTTGGATGCAGCCCTGTGCCACGTGCTCTAGGTGACCCTGCGTGTGCAGGGAGGCTGGACTAGATGACCTCTGAGGTCCCTTCCAACCTTWRGCATTCTATGATTCTATGTCTATTTAGACATCCACCCATAGCGATATATGTGAGTTTATATGTGTGTGTGTATTAGAATCTTTCTCAATCCCTTCTCACTACTAAGCTTTTCTTTAGTGGTCAAAGAGAAATCACTTTCTCATTTTTACAAACTTCTGAAATTTCATATCAGTTGAGAACTAAAAATWAAAAAAAAAAGGAACAAAAAAATCAGATCAAGCAGCTTTCCACAGTAACACAGCCTTGATATACTAAAGTGTTTTATTCAATAGTCAGAAGTTCTTAAGAAGAATGTTAAATGATAAATGTTAAATGATAAATAACCTACATTACAAAACAAAACTTTTTCAAAACTAGAATTAAAAAATCTAAATAAAATATTAAGATAATTTAAAAATACTTAGTTCAAAAGTGTCTTTGGCTTTTTAAAACTGACCTTTTTCTGTGGAGACTCATACTTTATATGAACTTCTGTAACAAAGATTTTATATATAAGAATGCTTGCCCAAGTTCTCCTTCTATTATTTTAATTCATTAGTGATGTGTCAGTCTGCAATATTTATGAATTCATCAGTTCTGTAAAGCTTTGTACATAATTGTAATAGTATGAAGCAGTTGCCCAAAATGCAGTATACAGCAGCAGCTTCCAACTATTTCATGTGAAAATGTTTCACATGAAGTGAAGTGACCTTAGGCATTACATACTGCATTTGAAATGCTACCTTTTAATTTATGTCTGCATTTTGATCAATTTCAGGTACAAAGCAATTGTAAATCCCATGGATATCCAAGCATCCAGTGCAGTGCTATGGACCTGTGTGAAAGCAGTTGCCATCTGGATAATCTCCATGCTCCTGGCTGTTCCTGAAGCAGTGTTCTCTGAACTGGCCCACATCAATGAAACAAACAATGCCACTTTCACAGCCTGCATACCTTACCCCAAGAGGGATAACATGCACCCAAAGATCCATTCTGTGCTGATTTTCCTAGTGTATTTCCTTATCCCTCTTTCTGTTATTAGTATCTACTACTATCATATTGCAAAAACTTTAATAAAAAGCGCTCACAACATCCCTGGTGAATACAGTGAACATTCCAAAAGACAGGTAAGCAATTTGCTTTGTATTCCATGATAAAGATTGATGTGCTGTATACACTTAAAAAGTACGGACAGTTAAAGAAATACATAAAACTATAAAAAATATAAAATCTTGATTGTTGGGTTTCTCAGAGTTTCCATGTGCATGAGCTAAACCTAGGATTATCTGAAAAATCTGGAATTTTAACTGTTATTCAAATACTAAACCCAGGATGTAAATAAATATGATCTAGGAAAATAAATTCAATAATAATGAATATTCCTATGGAAAATGGAAAATAGGAACTGGCATATGTGTTTGTATGTGTCAGTATAGCCACTGCTTGTGTTCTTACAAAGGAAGAACTTTTTTATATTAAATATTGATGGCACTCTCTATATGAAGTCATCTGGGAAGAAATCTTACCAGATTTTTTTTTTTTGAGAATTCTCCCTATTGTATCTGTGCTTGGAGACTGGAAGACTGACAGTCAGGAAAAAAAAAAAATCTTATACAATCTGACATTCTTTTCAGAGCAAGGAGCAGTGAAAATAGGAACACAGAGGATGAGTAGATTTTTCTGTGGCTTTCTGAGTAGACTTTTCTTGGATATAATCCTGAATTCAGTTACACTTTTCTTAAAATCCTTCCTATAATWGATGCCATAGATCTCTCAGTTTAGATTCTGTGGAACTTTAAGACAAAACATTTTGACACCTATCTCCATTGTAAAGCACAGCAAGCAATAAGATAGCAACAAGCACTCTGTTAACAGAAACATCTATATACAGACAAAAATTTTGATAGTGAAAGCGTCTCAACCACTTTACAAAAACATTAATATTGGTTAAAAAAATCCTTATGCCAATTAAAATAATTTGAAAAGATTTTCTCTGCTCATTTTTTTTGTTTTATTTTGTTTAAAAAACATAATACTCACTGAGAATTCTTTACATGTGTAGAGTGGATAGAGTGTTTTAAAAAGAATGGCTACATTCCCGTGGGTCCGTTTTGCTCAGCATTTCATTTCCACTCTAGCCTGCTTCTTTTCAAATATGCATACATGTTGGCACTTCATGGAATATTTTATCTTTCTGTGAAATATAGAGTCTTTTGCCTGAACTCTCAGGACAAAAACAATATTTAATTCATATCACATTTCTGAAAGCACATGTATTTTCAAAATAAGAACATTTTTTACATTTTACTTAATTTTTGGGCTAATCTATGAGTCTCACAAGAGTAGAAGAATCTGGTGTACTTACATATCTCCCAGCAAGGGGAAGTAAATTCAGATTATTGCTATCAATATAAGTTTCTCTAGGCAATAGCATAGAAGAATAATATTCACACCATACCTTTCAGTCTGCCTTTGCAATCTGACCCAATACAATCCTACCAAATTAGGATTCTAGAATTTTATGCCCAGTTTCCCCATATTTTCTGAAACCCACTGGTTTTATTTTAAATGTAGTTGGGAAAAATATACTTTCTTAAATTTATTTCACAGATTTTGAAACCGTACTGAATTTTTCAGCTTAAAATTGACAAGTGACTTATTCTGTTAAGCTTTTGAATCCCTCTAAATATCTACGCTGTAATCCAGTTATGCTCTAGCAATGCCATTAGGCACTGCTAGAAAGGCACATTTCTTTCATCTCATTATCGATGCTTGCCCAAGGCTTTCACCTTACCTTGGAATTAAGTTGCCCCAAACTGTGCAATGTGCTTGTCTAATAGTTCTCCTAGGAGAAAAGTGCAAGCTGAGACATTTCAGGTAAAATGGGATATAAGCACCATTTTATGGCTAGTATCTTAGGTGTCAGACTGAAAATGYCTCTACATTGTAAATTTCTAAATTTTCTCTTACTAAAATTAAGTTTCTAGCCAAACACCGAGATTCTATCAGAAAATTTTATGTTTCATGGCATCCTTTGGTGTGTTCCTTCAGGCTAAAAGTCAATGTATACGTGGTTTGTGAATCAGTCTTGGTATACTTATCCATGGACCATATAGAAAGAGCAACCGTCTGTAACTATGAAGAGCTAGGGTAAGCAAGCTAAGAGTGGAAAATAAAAGCAAATGAGATGATAGATAGAAAAAGTAATTCACCCCCTGAAGGAAGTAACTTTAATGGTTTTATTTAAGATCAATGTTAGAGATTATATTAAGTGAAATTATACATTTTTAAATCGTCTGTTATGTTGAACAGTTCTATTCATTGTTGCTAATTTGAGTTTACTTTTTTTTTCATCTTTTTTAGATGGAAACTCGGAAACGCCTGGCAAAAATAGTTCTAGTTTTTGTTGGCTTCTTTGCTATCTGTTGGTTTCCTAACCATGTGTTATACATGTACCGGTCCTTTAATTACAATGAGATCGATCCATCAGTAGGACATATGGTCATAACCCTAGTGGCCCGAGTCTTAAGCTTCTGCAACTCGTGTGTCAACCCATTTGCACTGTATTTTCTCAGTGAGAGCTTTAGAAGACATTTCAACAGCCAACTTTGCTGCAAGAGGAAATCTCAGCAACAAAGATCTGCCAGTTACTTACACAACTCTTCTGCCATTCGAATTACTTCCCTGAAAAGCAATAACAGGAACACAGTGACCAGCACAATACTCCTGAATGGCCACAACTCCAAACAAGAAATGTCATTATGATTGAATAGATGCGACCTGGGAACAGATTTGAGATTTTACTTTGTGGTGTGTAACTCATTTTTGGATCTCTCTGTAAACTTCGTCCATCTGCTCCTCAGGACAGGAGGATCTGTTAAAGTCTTTTTGAATTCTTTTTATATTTAGTTTTACTTTCAGCAAGAAGTGAAGCATTTCTTTTATTGAGAATACTAGTTGGACTGGCTTCAGATGGTTCCTCCCAGCCTATATTTAACATAAAAGAAAACAAAGTAATGGTGTGAATATTAGTGTAACTGTTCTAATGTTACTTTAAAAAGTACGTATTTTCTGGTCAGGAAAATATGTACTTTTTAGTTAATATTGATTCTGACTCATGTCTTACTCTAAAGGATTCTGCATGATTTTTACCTGTGCTCTTTATACAAGTGTTATTCATTAAGATTGGTAATTGGTCATTGGATGTGAACCAATTAAAGAGGCATTTGAAGATATACATTCTAGATTAGGATTAAAACAACAACAACAACAACAACAACAACAACAACAACAACAACAACAATAAATGTATTGATAGTAAGATCTTCCCCTCATGTAAGTTTACATTTTTTTATTCAGTACAGAAATTTAATCCAGATAAGAATTTAATTTCTGGAGTTTCCATCTGTCTGCAGTACCATTGTTTTAGAGTGCACACTGATTAACATCCTACTGTGCTATGATTTGGTGCTGCTACTGATCTTGCTGATATCACTACACAGCCAAAGCAAAACTAAATGAAATGGGATGAATGAGCATTGAAGAAAGTGAAGTTCCAGGTGGCTTTTTCAAAGAGGATATGTAGCAAGGCTTTTTGAGGCTATCATGAACCAGCTAACTAAACAATAAGGTTATTCAGAGACTTAGGAACTGTGTCTTATGTAGGATACTTATATCCTGGAAGTTAGGTGCTCAAGTATGCATCTATATTAGTTTTTCAACTAATTTGCATCTCAGAGTGATCTCAGAGCACAGAACCCACGTTTCTTGATGAAAACAAACTGAAGAATAGAGCTGAGAAACACACCTAGTATACTCTGTCCACTCATAACCATTCAGGCTGTGGGGCTAGACAAGCTTTAGTGTGAAATAAATCCCCAGTGATGAAACTTGGGTAGCTGGATGTTGGTTACTCAGCTCTTGCATGCAGATTTACTGGGATATGCAAAGCCTAAGTACTGTAGAAGGGCTGTAGAAGATATATTTTTTTTTTCTAATGAGGGCCCTGGTGCATAAATTGACTATCCGCTTCTGAAAATTCTAGCTGCCTAGAAGAGGCATTTTAAAATGATCTTATATTGTGAAATAAATCTTGTGAGTCACCCTACTGCCACGGACCATATAGCACTTCTTTTTTTTGGTTATGGAAACGGGAGCCCCTTTTCTTTGTCATTGTTCCTAGGAGAGCATTTTCACAGTATACTGTCAGTGCAGAGTTTGGTTTAAAACAGCAGGGGATGGCAGGTGAGGTTGTGGTTGCAGACATCCAGAACAGATCTGCTCTATGGGTTTATGGTTCTCTCCCCTTATTCACATTCTCCTGCTGGGGAGCCCTTTTGCAAGGTTTGCAAAGTCGCTTTCCAAACTACTAGAAGGAAGGTGGTGCAGCTCTAAAACTCATCACTTTTTTTTTTCCATGACTTTTTGTTTTCTTTTTCCTTTTAAAGCCAAATCAGCTCACCAGTGAGAATAGGTTGCTGAGTAGATGAAGTAACTGAAGTTTGTTGCTACAAAAACTCATACTAGTTCATATATATGAGAATTTCAAATCTGTGTCAGAGATACATCAGCTCTTGCTGAAAGAACCAGTTATCTAGGAGCCGATTACTCCCTTCCCCCACTGCACCTTGCACCATTCTCTGTGCCAGGCAAGAGATTAGTTGAGGCAGGGCCTTCTTGGGCTCTACTCGAGAGAGGTGAAGCTCATAGAGCCCTTTTCAGAAGAAAAGACAGTAGAGGCATAGAATAGCCTCTATTATATAAAATAGCATTTCCTCCACCTTCTGGAGGAAATATTTTACAGACAGTTCATGAGCTAAATGTAATTTTGAATAACTCTTTCATTCACATTAGATAGAACTGCTCCAGCATAGATCTATCTCTGTCACAGTGCTGTAGACTACACATCTGCAATGAAAAATAAAGTTGAGTGATAGAAAGGACACTGGAAGCATAGATCTTTTTTCAGGATTAGTCTGATGATTTCAAAAGCTGAAGTGGTAATACAGTCCTTTAATGAACTTGCTATTCAATTTTATTTGTAACTCCTTTGAACTAACTAAAGTTTAAGATTTTGTTACTTAATTCTTTGATGTATTCAAGGGTAAAACACTTTTTTTTTTAAAAAAACAATATTTGTGCCTTAATGTTTTTGGTAGTTACCATGTAGATTAAACTACTTACCTGAAAGACCAAATCTTTAGTGTTCAACAGAGAAAACAACAAGTTGAAGGTCTGAATATTGTTCAGTGTTGTCCAGCTGATAAGACATGTGCCATGTATGTGAGATAGTAAAAGCTGTGAAAAGTATTCAAATAACTAAACTTATGAAGTACTGTCTGGCCTACCTTTTGATAATGGCTCAATGGCCTCATTTGCTGCTCCGAATACTTTATATTATGGGTTAGGCTGACATGATTTTGTAAATCTGGCTGGGGTAATTCAGGAAATTGTCGTCTTTAACTACCTAATATTGCCTTATCGTCCCTTCTCCTCCATTTCTCCTTTTCTTCTTTGACTCCAAGACTTAATGCTGTGTGAGTTCATACACTCTCAGAACTTCCCTTTAGTTTTATGCCATTAATTCCTGGATACCGGCTAGAGTCTTGAATTCCTTTGTTCTGGTTAGTAATGTATCTGTTTTAGCCCTGGATATTTTACTGCCACAAAACATGAAAACTCAAAGCCTTCCTTTCTCTGTCCTCAATGGTGATTACTGGCTGTGATCATGTTTACCTTTCATTTCTGTATTTATTTCTTTTTGGCTGCCCATTTCTCATTTTGTCTGGCAGTCTCTACACAGCATAAAATTTCTCAGAACCTTTAAATCCATCTTATTTTTTTTTTTATTTCCTAAAGGCATTTATCTAATGTCAATGTTACCAGCTGATACAGGTATGATACTGAAAAAAAACCCTACTTTATAGTAGATTTGATGCTTGTGCTTGATTAATACTCTTATCAGTAGATGTCTTAAGCTGCTATGTGTGACATGAACAGCATGAGTTTGATTTCTGGCAGATCTGCAAACTACAGCCCATTGCTTTTTTTGTTGTGTGAGGAAGGTATTTTGGGATAGGCAATAACTTCTTGTCAGTATATCAGCATATTTTTGGGTCATTACTTCCCAGACCTCATTCCCGAAGCTTAAGTAACCTGAATTGTATATACCTTCTCTATAATTTCTGTAGCATGGCATGAGGAAATTAATCTCTCTGGAGCTTTACTGAGTGTATTGCTATCACAAAATTTACATTTTGAATGTCTCTGTTACTGTGCTTTAATACACATTGTACACGAATACAACTGTATGTATATATATGCATGTCCTTTTCCAGACAACTCTGCTAATAATTAAACACATGGTTGTAGAATGCAGTATATGAAGTAATTACTTCTAATTCTGGAGTCAAAGAAATAAATAGATCTGTGAATGAGATCATGTCTATTTTTCAGATTCAAAACCAAAAGTTTTGCCAAAACTGTTGCCAAGTTACCTTTAGATTATTCTTTTTCCTACCATAGAAGTTTTTAAATTTCAGAATCATCAGTTTCCTCTGTGTAAGGTACTCTACTTTTTAGACTAGATCTTGCCCAAAATAAGTTTTATAGCATCATGTCTCCCTGCTCTGCCTGAAACAGAAGTTGTAATGCTGCCTCCTGAAATGTCAATACTTTTGGATTGTGAAGTCATAATTGTCTTCAACAAAACAAATTTCACTACAATACAGAGTAATGTATTTCCTTTCTGTATCCCAGCTCTTCCATGGATCTTTCTCTAGACTCAAGAAAAATGGATTCACAGAWATGTAAACCTCAAAAGAGTAAATTTGGGAGTTGGAGAGGAAAGGTTCTTTGTCCCAGTTTGAAGAGACTAATCTTAAGTTGAGGATTTGTAGTGGTTATTTCTGGTGTCATTTCTCTGTTCACTTATTTCTCAAATAGGAATAGAATCCGATGAAGGCAGATGCATTCTCTGTGTTTCATTGTTATCACTTTCCTACAGATTCAGCAAAGGAAACACAGAGATTGCAATCACATTCCACTCAGTGAAGGAATAACAATATTTTAAATCACCTTTGTACCCCCAGGAACTGTGTAGGCTCCTGTGCACATTATATCTTTGCTTGCTCTAATAGTCTTAGCTTCTGCACTACAGTACTGATGAAAAAGAAGGTTGTTGGTGCTTCTTATTTCCCCTTCTTTCTTCACTGATGTTCTAGGAAAATAAATTCTTCTGTTCTCATATAACAGACTAAATCCTAATGAGCAAGGGTCGTTGTGAATCTGGAATTTCCTAATTTTGGAGTGTCTTGCTTTGCTGCTTAAGTAATGATCTTCTTTTTACATTTTCCTTGAATATACTGTATGATGTCTACATAACAAAAGGCTTTTTGTGGGTTTAGTCTTTTTTGAAACAAAGTGGCTCAGCTGCTCTGATAGCAAGCTATCACAATAAGATCAGCTATGCTTCCTAGAATGCTGGTCTCAAGATCGCTTTTAAATTAAGCATTATAATCTCAAACCAGCCTATACCTGGCTAGGATTTAGCAGCACCTCATCGGAAAAGGAGCTAATGTGGTTCCAAGTAGCATTATTAAATCTGGATATAGGCAAATTCATAATTTATATCTTTTCCTCACAAATACCATACAGGACAAAGAATACATGCCTTTTCCTTTTCCTTTTATACCATGTGTACAGGACAGCCAACACGCTGATGCTGTGACACCCTGTGAGGGTCCCTACTGGGCAAATATGTACTCTGAAATTAACTGATTTATCAAATCATTTTAAATTCTGAACTGACTGTAAAAATGCTTTATGATATTTTCAGAGTGTCAATGGCAGCCTGACTGAGCTTAAAAAGAAGTACACACTGCCATAGTATTTTATAC